CGTCACTCCACAGAGCACTTAATTGTAAATAATTGGCACGCCTGTTTTTCACGATTATTCTTCTTAATGCTCTTCGGTCGGCATTTGTGATATTACTTTTTTTCACATATCGTGGCTTAACATTAACTGAACCAGTTACGTTATATCTTCTAACAATATTTTCCACACTGTACCGCGATAAGTCTAACAAAGTTGCAAATTTCTGAGTTTGATTTCCCAGAATGAAAAAATTTAATTATCAGTAACCGAATTTTCTCACTAATAACATTTCCTCTACCCATTTTGAAAACCTTAACTACACAAAACTATTTTAAACGTATTCTGACAGCTGTGATTAATAAAAACAATTGTCATAGCTTTTATTTTTCACAGCCAGCTATGCATTATAGACTTATTTTGCATTGAAATGAAAATAGGATGATATGCTGTAATTGCAACATGTGTTATTTTTATGTTGCAAATTTGATTAGGGAGTGATAAAGTTGGTGTTTTCTACTATATATTATCAAAATATTCATTGTTAATATTTTAAACCTAAAACACCCTGCTACATTTTTATTATTTGTGTTTGATAAGAAAAAAACTAAGATTTCAATAGTTGGGTCAACTGAAGTGGGAAGGGGCTCGTACATAAGATAATATTAAAAGACTAATTACAAGTGTCAAAAAACAATACATGTTTATGTCAATATAAATATTTTGGACGATGATCCCATCACAAATGAATACTTGAATATCCTATCAAGTAACGGATTTCTGTCCTATATAAACCTACCTACAAGGTCCATCAGTGGCACATGTATAGATCACTGCTTTGTGAAATACCTATCCAACAAAATTACTTGTATACCAATAATCCTAGAAAGCGATATTACTGACCACTTCTCCACTATTTTACTGATATCTTCAAATGAAAAACATTCTAACATCCCTACCGTTAGTAACAACCAGGAAAATTACAAATTTTTTGTCGACAATTCAAAACTAATATCAAATGTCAAACAAGAATCATGGGAACAATTATACTCTATAAATAATATAGACAAAGCAACGGGACTGTTCATAGAGAAAATAAAAAAAACTAATAGATATTAGTACCAATAAAGTAATAATTAGTCACAAAGAGAAAAGCAGAAATGCCTGGATTACCAAAGGATTAATAACATCGGCAATAGAAAAAGAACGAGAACATTGTAATGAAACTAACGCCAACTACAGAGAATACCGACTGCTACAACCAATATAAAAATAACTTTATAGAGCTTGTAAGGCAAACCAAACGAAAACATTACCTAAATAAATTGAATAATAACTTAAATGATCCTAAGCGGCTTTGGACAGCTATTGATGAGATTACTGGGAAAACAAAAGTTAAAGAGTGTGTCACTGAGTTAAATACAACATCGGGAACAGTATTAAAAAATACTCAACAGATATGCGATGAATTTGTACAATTCTTTACTGACATAGGCGAAAATTTAGCAAGTAATATACAAGCAAATGTACAAAATACTCAGCCTCCAAAAAGAACTTTGAACTCATTTATTTTGGATAAAGTCGAGCAATGTGAAGTATACACCACTGTTATGTCCTTAAAAAATCGGAAAAGTCCTGGGTTCGATGGTATTAAAAGCGAGCATTTGAAAATTATAGCCGATGACATAACAGAACCACTCACTTACCTAATCAACAAATGCTTTGAATCTGGCATATATCCCTCAATTTTAAAAAAAGGTAATATAATACCGATACATAAATCAGGAACAAAAATAGATGTTAACAACTATAGACCAATATCAATAATATCCAGTGTAGCAAAGGTTTTTGAAAAAGTTTTATCTACTAGAATGATTCGATACCTCACAAAATTCAAAATTTTAAGTGAAAATCAATATGGATTTACAGAAGGGAAGGCTACATCGGACGCAATAACTAAAATTGTAAATCAAATACATAAAAATATTGATAACAGAATCCCTTCAATCTGTATTTTTGTTGATTTAAAGAAAGCTTTCGACACAGTTAATCACAAATTATTATTAGAAGCATTGGAGAGAATTGGTTTCAGAGGAAACGCGTACTCACTGATCGAAAGTTATTTGTCAAATCGCCCACAATCTTTGCAGATATCAGGATCATTTAGTAAAGAAATGTATATTAAGTGTGGTGTCCCACAAGGAACTGTCTTAGGTCCGCTGTTATTCAATATATATTTAAATGATATTTTCCAAATTAATTGTGTTGGCAAAATAACTAGTTTTGCAGATGATACTGCAATATTATATGAAGGCACTGACTGGTCTGATCTGAAAAATGTAATTGAAAATGATTTTATCAAAATTATTCGGTGGTTTAACAGTAGAAAATTAAGCATTAACTACTCTAAAACACATTTTTTACCATTTGGATCTTATGCTAGACATCTGCCAAATTACACAAATTTCTCCTTCAATATTAATGATCAAAAAATGCAAATTAATAGAGTGCCCAACATAAAATACCTTGGAGTGGTCTTGGATCCTCACTTACGATGGGACATCCATGTCAATTATATTTTAAAGAAAGTTAGATTTGTATCCTACAAAATTAAATACCTTGGGAATATATTGACAGAAAAAGATCTTCGAACATTATACCATGCACTGATTGAGCCTCATCTCACATATGGTATATTAGCATGGGGAGCTGCTTGTTCCTCACATATCTATAATTTAGATGTTTTTCAAAAAAGTATTCTAAAAATGATATTTAAAAAACCGAAACTTTATCCCACTGAAAAATTATACGCAGATGTTCGAATGTATGATATAAGACAGCTTTATTTCTTACACAGTATCACTCACTACCATAAATTTGTAAACACCGACCAAAAAATTAAACATAATCATTATACCAGGTACAAAATTCGTGGCACAGTAGTTCCTCAACCGCATAAATCTATAATGCAGCGATCATATCTCTATTTAGCGCCTAAATTTTATGAAATTATAGCTAAAGTCTTAAAAGATTTACGTTTCGGAAATTGTTTCAAAAGAAATTTAAAAAAGTGGCTACATTCTATATCTAGGACTGAAATTCATAAACTCATAAATACGAACATCAACTAAACACATAATCTACTGTAGCTAATTTTTGTCCTTTTTTGTCATTTGCATTCTACAGTTTCAACTTAAATTTATTGGTCCATGTACAGCCGATGCCTTCTATTGGGCCTGTTTTGATTTTATATTTATTTACTCATATTGTTTGTTATCTTTGTACATTGAGTGAATAAATATTATTATTATTATTATATAAAGAAATTATTTAAAAAAATATAATTTAACGAAAAAGTGACCTTTTTTTTAAGCCTATTTAACAAAAAACATATGGAATATAAAAAGGAAGGGAACAATATAAAGTAAACACTACAATTTATTCACCTTCTTTCAAAAGCTGACACATACATAGACTCAAGGTTTGCGGGGGCATGATTGTACAAGTGGTAGAGAAAATGAGAAAAAGATCTATTAAACATAGATGTACGATGACGTGGTTGGGAAATCAGCTTCTGGGACCTAATATTGATATTGTGAACATCACTTCGAAATGTAATCTTATATAAATAAGCCCGAGTTTTATATAAAATAATTTTGTGAAACAAAACTGCAGAGTGCAGATTTCTTCTGGATTCCACATTCAGCCATCCTATTACAGGTAACTTATAAGAAATATGTTCAAATCTTTTCACTCCAAAGATAAACCTAAGACAAGAGTTTTGGACACGCTGTATATGATCAACATCATACCTTGTTATACAAGGTCCATAAACTGAGTCTCAGTAATTGAATAATGGCAGAACAAGCGTGTCACAAAGTAAAGCCTTAAGTTCAGTAAAAAAGATATGACGATGTGGAAACAACATTTTAAGCCGACCATAAGCACGGCCAATGCACTTAGCAACATGCTTTGAAAACCTCAGGTCACTACCCATAATCAAGCCTGAATTCCTAGTAGCAGATGTATGAGGAAAAACATCATTTTTAAATGAAATATGGGATGTATCTGCCACACTCTTTTTGGGTTTCACGAACAATAAAACATTTGACTTTGTTGGATTTACAGATAACTGATGTGCTTTGCTTTCGTTTGTCAAATTACTAAGATCGTCATGTAATAATTTAACCGCAGTTGTTGTATCTGTATGAGAGAACGAAAATTTTGTCTGGGTATCATTAGCATATAAATAATATACAGGGTGTTTCAGTTTATTGTTGCATAACTTTAAGATTCGATAGAACTTTTAAAATTAATGCATAAAGTCTATATAAACATGGGTCGAAAAATACGTGGCTTCCGAAATACAGGGTGTTTAAATTTACTTTTTAAAATAGTTTTTTTTTTAATATTTGGAACAATATTTGATGTATAACAGTGAAAATTGGTATACAAGGGTTTTTTGGTACGACAAACCTTAAAAATCGAGATATCTCAAAAACGGCTAACTATAACGAAAATTCACAAGATAGCTTTTTTATGTTGAAAAGTGCGATGAATCAGTTTTTTTATTCAAAAAGCAAAAAATTGCACTAAGAAAAAAATTTCGGTCATTTTAATACACTACAGGTACAGTAGAGAGCGCCCTCTAGCGACTACAGTAAAACTATGCCCATGGTTCGTTTTGTCGTACCAAAAAACCCTTGTATACCAATTTTCACTGTTATACATCAAATATTGTTCAAAATATTTAAAAAAAACTATTTTAGAAAGTGAATTTAAACACCCTGTATTTCGGAAGCCACGCATTTTTCGACCCATGTTTATATAGACTTTATGCATTAATTTTAAAAGTTCTATCGAATCTTAAAGTTATGCAACAATAAACTGAAACACCCTGTATAATAAAGAACACATGAGTGATGGGTACCCTGATCAGATTAAGTTGAAACTGAAGATGTCAAATATTAAGGAAACTCTTTTTTTCAATTCAAACTTTGTAAATGAATCAAGAGTCTACATACCTCAGACCACTTGCTCAATTTCCATTTTCCAGCACATCTTTCATTGTGTCTCCAACAGTTTTCTACTTGATTCACATTTGTTGGAAACTTCAGCCAAATTTCGCCCCTAAATGCTCTTTTTCACAAAGCTGAAAATAATAAGTTTTCATGGTCGTAAATGAATGTTTCAACATTATTGGGGAGAAGTTATTATTGTCAGTGAAACACTGTTTACTTTATGGCAAATTTCCTTCGAAATTAAAATGTTCTACAATTGCTCTTGTTCCAAAAGTGCAACATTCTGAGTTGTTTACAAACATGCGGAGGATTAATGTACTGCCAGATGTCGAGAAAATCTTAGAAGGAATCATATATGAACATGTCATCGAATATATCGAAAAAAACAAAAAATATTGACAAAATTTCAAGCAGGATTCAGAAAAAAAAAGTACTCTACTGAAACAGCAATTCAAATGGTAGTAGAAGAATTGAGGCGAAATATGGATGAAAAAAGGTTTACAGTAACATTTTTCTTGGATTTCAAGATGGCATGACAGGGAGAAATTGTTAACTAAATTGCTTTACTATGGATTTAAAAGTTCAGTATTTAACATATTATAAAATTATTTAATCAATAGAAATCAAAGAACTAAAATTGACAATACATTATCAAGCATTAAAATCATTTCGGTAAATGTACCACAGGGTAGCAATTTAAGTACATTACTATCTATTTTATATATTAACAATATTCCTGATATCTTACAACACTGCAAAATTCAAAATCTTGTTGATGATATATATATATATATATATATATATATAAAACAACAAGTAGGAAAATAATGGGCAAAATCCGCAAAAAGGAGGAAAGTGGATTCGAGCAGAAATAGGATAGGTAACCCGAGCGATACGTATTTCTGCCGGTTGGCTTCATCAGGCCCGAAATGAATGCACATATGAAACTACAAAAGTAGATACACATGCCCACACATCCGGATACGGGTGTAACCTGGGGAAACGAAGTTGGAGGGGGAAAAAACGACACACGAAGTCCACAACAAGAGCCAACCTACACACGTCTAACCACCCCCTCCAACTTCATTTCCTCAGGTTACACCCATATCCGGATGTGTGGGCATGTGTATCTACTTTTGTAGTTTCATATATGCATTCATTTCGGGCCTGATGAAACCAACCAGTAGAAATACGTATCGCTCGGGTTACCTATCCTATTTCTGCTCGAATCCACTTTCCTCCTTTTTGCGGATTTTGCCCATTATTTTCCTACTTGTTGTTATATACCTTTCTCCGCATTGTTGACAGGTACTCTTACAGAGCAACACCAAAGAAATGAGGCTTCTGTGTACACACAGGGTCATTGCTGCATTGTCAGACTGTTTTTTCATGAAAAGCCCAAATAGTGCATTACAGGTTCTGACAAAACCTTTGTCTTTTTAATATGGAAAATTGTAGTGGAAGTTCTTTTTAATCTAGTTCACGCCATTTTTTGTCCTTTTCTTTTTAGACCATGGAGAGCTTTTAGAACCTCAGATAAGCTCGACAGAATTATTCTACCGTCATTTTATTCACAAACTATGAATTTATCCGGAAATGAGGAATGACTTGTCAACAGTCACATGTCAAAGCATTGCAGTGGTTATAGAATTCCACAATATGGTGGTACAGATATCAATCTTCTAATATGATGCATACCTGACAAGGAACCTCACCATTCTAACTTGAAAGCCATCCCTCCCACATGTTTCTGTACATTTGGTCTATGAACTGGTCTTCCTCTCAAACACCAATTGCCGTTCTTCATTCCAATCTCCAAGAATGGTAACGTTTTCCCTACCCCGATTCATTACTCCGAAATTTTGCTTTTCTAAGGAATTCAGGATGTCGCGATCTTGAGATCATTCTTCCACGGTGATCCAGATTTGAAAATGTCCATGGAATTTCGAGGAAACTCGACCACCCTGTATCCTCGGGAATTTGAGAACGTCTGGAAAGGCCACAAATATGACGTATTTCATTAATAAGACAGTTTAACTACAGCTTCTCTTTTGAGAATGATCTTTATGAGTTAACGGTGACATGGATAAGATTTGATTGATACCATGTAAGTAAAAAGAAAAATCGTGATAATTTTAAGCAACTTTTACTCTGCGTCCAGAATAAAATTGGCATTGAAGAACTATAATGCCTATTTTCTTGAATACATCCATTGATTTGTAACATTTTTTGCATTTTTACTAATTAATAAAACACGATTTATTAACTATAACTAAATTACAATTTTGGGACTACTTTAGACCCAAAAAAGAAAGAACATTCGCAGGACGTAAGCTATACCACGAGCAATGTGCCAGCAAGTTTTCAAGAAGTTGAAGTCTAGATTCGAGGAGTGTGTACGTCTCTATGGCTCGCATCTCAATGATTTTATTTGAAAAAAAATACAATTACCATATGTCTACTTTATTAAAAATGTAAATTATCTTCCCAATGCTTTGTAGTTTTTTGTCTTTGATTTTTTTTGGCTCAACTTAATGCCACACCCTGTATTTTGCACTAGCTATTACGCTCAACTTTGTACGCTTGAATTTGTTTTAACAAAATATTGCTTCTAAACAACTTCCAATCGCGTCTTGTATTTTTGGCAGCCAGCTTGCATGTTTGGAAACCACGAAGCAAAAAGCTATTTTACAATAAATTAATGTAAAAAGTATCTGATAGGCCGCTGAAAAAGAACCATTAATATTCGAGCAGTCTCTTGGTCATAGGATTCAGCAACAGATTTTGAACATGCCCCTACAGAAGCGTAACTTCGAATCGCAACATATATTTGTCTTCTATACCCTTTTTTCCCCAAATGTGATATTTCTGTTTATCAGTGTCCAAGTGGAAGTGCAAGTTTTGCTATGAACATTTTAGAGCAATAATACAAAAACAGAAACAGGAACTTATTGAAAGGTGACACCACCAATATGTAACCAGTCTCTAGTGGAAAATAAACTATTAAGCAGTATTGTGTTTACACAAAATTATAGCAGATCTCTCCTTATATCTAGTGCACTAAACAATGACAAGAAAAACTATCACAGGCAACTACTAAAAGTAGATATTCACAGATAAATGGATACTGACCTTTTGACTGTTCACTTGACCTTAATTCACCAATTCTCAACGAAATCTTCTTGTTGTCATACTGAATGAACGTACTGTTTGACATGTCGATGTGAGGCTGATCAATGTCCACAATGCTGCTTTTGGTGTTGCAAGGCTTTGTCTCTGCTGGTTTGGGTCGTGGACACATGGCTGCAGATCTATCCAGTGTGGGGTGGATGAAAACAAATCCTTTTCAAAAAGAAATAATAGTTATTGTTAACAATCTCAAGTTTAGTAGAGTTACCAGATTTTTCTTATAATACAGTAATATCTATACCCTATTTCACAGGTATCCATCATGCTTCAATGTAGAGTGAGGTGAACAGCTGCTCAGCAAGTCACATTTTTGTGTTAGTCTGCAACATTAACAATAGCGAATCGCATGTAAATATAGAAAAACTTGTTTGTAGTGTTTTGTTTTTGCATGCAAATGAACTTTTCTAAGTAAAAGAGCTGTTAGGAAATACAAAATGAATCTGTAGGCCACAAAAAAACAAAGCAAAATACAGTTCTGACCACCTGACATTGACAGATCCATCAGAATTATGTGTCCTGTGCCGATATGGGGAGTTTTGAGATATTACTAGATAATCAGCTGTCATTCTACCATGATGGATACTCGTGAAATAGGGTATAATCACAATTCCATAACATTGATAAATCAGAAAGTAAAAGTTTTATGGAAAATATGATTATATATATTGTTCATTCTCAAAAAATCGTCACAACTCGAAAAAGATGAAAATCCAGATTACTATACCAAGTGATTCCATATTATGTGGAAAAATTTCACATCTGTACTTTCTACCAACGGTGGACTTGTTTTTGAATTGATGTATTCTAGGTACCCTTTATAGTTCTAAACCAACACAACTCAGTATAATAATCCAGTCGCCATAGGAGAATGTTCTAGCTTTGAGTGGAAAACCATTAAATTTGAGATTAGCATGCATGTTTTTCGGAGATGTATAACTACGTTTTTTTAAGCATTACTCTTGAACGAAAACTGTTATATTTCGATTTGTGGCATAATTCCAAATCAGAAATAAGTGAAAAAAGAAGAAATCGTTATTATGCTTATTTAAAAATGTCAATAAGTCAACCATACCACGAGTTTATTTAAGTTGTTATAACAGTTTATGAGGTAACAAAAAACTACTTGTACAAAGTTTAAACTTGTATGAAGGAATACAAACTTTGAACAATTTTGGCTGCACTTGCACTCCTGCAATTTTTAAAAATAGTATAAAACATATTTTCACATTTTGAGAGGCGTTTCAGGACAGCTAAGATGTCAGTAAAGATTGTAGATATATCTAAATACATTAGGTTTAGGAGTTACCAAATTACGCTAATATGTTACAGAGGCAACCAAGGTTAGGTTTAAAATTTTATGTTTTTTACCTTTTTTCACTTAATGTTTAGGCATGTTTCACACCTTTGCCCTTTATGTTTGATGAATGATTTCTTTTTACAAATTGTTTGTTTTGAATCAAATAATCTGACAGAAAAGTGACAGTAATTTTTTGTTGAAAAAAAATTATGACCTCAATCTTGAGTCGGAATTCCTCTAGAACAAAGTGCAAGAAATGTTTTGATTTGAATAAATTAAACATAGGGTAATTCTCTAGCTTAGCGACACCAGCTTTTTTTTACAACATCGTTAAAATATATCATACTTCACATAAGATTTTATACAGGGTGTCCCAGAAGTCGACGTCAAGCCGAAACCGGGTGATAGGCAAAGTCATAACAGCTATCAGAAAAATATTTAAAAAAATTTTATGTATGTGTTTTGAAAATTATAGGTCTTTGAAAAAAAATAGAAATTTCACAACCTACGGCAGTCTGTCAACTCCTGTTACTACAAATATCAACTTTTTGAAGAAAGATGGGTACATGAACCTGCATAACTTACACGAGTGGCACGTAGCAAACCCACATTTGATGAGAGAAGATAAATCTCAATATCACTTCAAGATAAACCATTGGACAGAAATTTTAAATGGTAAAATAATCGGTCGGTTTGAATTCCCAGAGACTTTGACTGCTGAGGTTTATTTAGGTTTTTTGAAAATCATTTAGAAAAGTTATTGGAGGACGTGCCACTGAGTATTTACGGGGACATGTGGTTTCGGCATGATGGCTGCCCAGCGCACTATGCACTCTCAGTGAGAGAGTATCTCGATCAAAACTTTCCAGGCAGATGGATAAGGCGGTCTGGTACAATACCGTGGCCAGCCCGATCACCTGATGTGAATCCTTTAGATTTTTTTACTGGGGAACTGTAAAAGAAAAAGTGTATTTCAAGCCGATTCAAAATGTAGCTGAGCTACGGCAAAGACTATTGGAAGCAGCTGAGTTTGTTAATAACCGTGGATTCGCTCGTTTAATAACCCGATCTTTTTTAAGAAGATGTCGAGCGTGTATTGCGGCTGAAGGAAAACAGTTTGAGCATTTGCTGTAAAGGTAAATCATCATCAGCAGCATTTTGACGTCCACTGTTGTGCAAACAGTTATCCTTAAGGGTCCTTGTGCATTTTCATAATCGCTGTTTAATTAGTAAATTTTGAAAAATTTTCATCAGTTTTTTTTCAAATAAAAATTGTGCATAAGTTAACGAGTAATCTTCTAAGTGTTATACCATTTTGGAATCGTTATTAAATGCGCCAACTTTTAAGGCTACTTGCCAAACTCTCATAGTACATTTTGTCCAGTACAGCCAGTTAAAGTTGAGCAAAGTTTTACTTTGGAATACTTGGTTGGGAAATAAGTGGCAATTTTTCCTGAACGAGAAAAGTTGGCAGTAAGGTTGAGACACCAGTTTGAAGATGCATTATTCATCATTACATTGTAAAAATAAAATCCAAAAAAAGTTAATATTTGTAGTAACAGGAGTTAACAGACTGCCGTAGGGTGTGAAATTTCTATATCTTTTTCAAGGACCTATAATTTTCAAAACACACAAATCTCGAAATCTTGATCAAAAATGAAACGTAATTACACAGATACGTCAGTTTGGCGGCAAATTGTAGCACTTAAAGTATTTTGGAAAGAATTAAAAACTATCGTTTATTATTAAAAAAAACACAAAATAACGTTACAAAAGAAAATATGAAATTCTTACTAGTAAAAAATATATATTTTTTTAAGTTTTGGAGCTTTCATCTTCATTGCATCAGTTCTGCTAACTCATCTGGAAGAGAAGACTTACATTTTAATTTAAAGAATTCATCGTGAAACCTGGCAGGTATGACATTGTTTTTCCAAATCCCTTTTCTTCATTTCGGATACTGGAAGCAGTTGTTTATACATTTTTTCAGGTTCAGAAACTGCCTTTAATTGCCGCTTTCGACCTTAAACAAAGAAATACTTCAGGATAACTTGCAAATATGTATTCATTTTTTATATTTGTAGTTCATTAATAGTTTTTTGTATTTAATAAAGTCTTAATAACGCGTGAATTCCCTATACAGGGTGTCACTAAATTAGTATTCAAAACTTCAACCACAAACAGAACAACAAATTTGCGATAAACATGGGTCCGGAAATGTTTCATTTCCGAGATACATTGTGTTGAAAATACGTTAAAAAATCAGTTTTTTTCTTATAATTCAGACAAAATGTTTTCGAAAATTTTTAAACTTTGTCGTTTCTCTTATTTCGATTAATCTATTTCGATTACGTCTTCATTTACTAAAGTACTTTTTAAAATATTTTCCGAATTATGTAGATCAAAAATATTGACACTTGAAATAATGGATATCGGCATAGACCCGATTTCTTCCTCAAAATAAACATTATTCGATTCATCATTTTGGCTAAGAGCCGCCAAAATCCTTTTTGTTTGTGAACTGACCATAGACATAATCTGAAAGTAACCGAGCATTTATGTTTGCAATGTTTCATAGCTTCTATAAAAATTAGAATAGAAACAAATACAACAGTCTTTCTCTAACTTCAACCGATTCATTCCTGTAAATTTCTCACAGACCTTGAGGTTATCACACAATCATTTGTAATAAATGAACGAAATTAAATATGAAATGGAATTTTATAGGTATGTACCTACATAATATAATTAGTCGATGGTAGCACGAACCTAACACTGTCGTAAGTCAAACACTGACTGCGAAAATCCGACGTAAGTCGCAGAAACCGACAGTGACTTACGTTATTATGGCGGTAAAAAACCTTAGCTTGCATTACTATGATGGAAATAGTGTTGAAGTTACGTTTCTTTTACGGATATGATTTAAAAAATTCCGGACATACGTTTTCAAAAAAAGTTAAAAACAAAGGTTTAAAGTAAAATCTAGGCTTCCTACACCTTGGCAGTACCTTACGTTAATGGAAAAACATGATTTTCACCAAAAATGTCACTTACGTTACTTTGGCAAAAATGCATCGATATTATCAGGATATCTGACTTTCACTTCACTTTTATCAGCTTCTTTTCAAGCTATAAATACTTAAGGAATCTCTTTATCACTAAACCTTTATTTCAACGGACCAGGATGCTCCCTTTGTTGACGACACTCACCTAGAGGAAAACGAGTTGTTCTCTTATAAAGTTTCACCAACATGTTAGGTGTTATACTCCAGATTCCAAAGTTCATCAACTCAACAAAAAATGTAGTTTAAATAACGACTTTAATAAAATTTGTAGCTACGAAAAACCTACCTTCAAAACATCCAGCAATCCAAATCCAAATGAAAGAGAGGTTAATTAAAAATGTGATTAAAAATGACAGCAATAAACCGTCAACCTTGCCAAAATCTCCAGGCTAAATCGAGGTAACTGTATTACCGGCATCACGTCACGTGCTGCCAGCTGGGATTCAGTGTTGTCAGGCGTAGCGATTGGCTACTTCAATGGCGCCCAATATCCAGCCAACTGGCGATATCTGACGATTTTTAACATTTCTGACGGCAATTAATTTGTAACCGATGATTTTCCTGATATGTGTATACAAAGAAAACCAAATTTGTCTGACGGCTTGAGCTCAATGTGCACGAGAGAGAAGCGCGAGAAGTGTTGGAAAGAGATAGAAGCCGGTTGAAGAGCGAAGGTCATCAATACAATGCCTAGCAACGGTGTCGCAGAAATTCGTGCAAGCTTCCGTGTGGCCAAAATGTTACACCAGAAAATGTTCGCACAGGCTTCTGTAATAGGTTAGGTTACTGTCAAACCTAAGAAGGAGGCCTATTTGAAGCAGAGCGACACTCCCCAATGTGCGCTAGATGGGTATGATCGTCTATGATCATGGAGGTCTAAACCTCGCCTTGGAATGTACAAGATTATTTGGGCACCTTAATTCAATGAACTGGTGTAACAATGGCAAGAAGGCAGATTGACGCGTCAGCGTTGATAAGCAATGCGGTGATGAGCTTCGCTATTCAGCCGGCTTCTATCTCTTTCTAGCATATGTGTCTATAGACACTTCTCTCTCGAGCACATTGAACTTAAGCCATCAGACAAATTTGGTTTTCGGTTGAATCAATGAAACATGAAACGAGGACCAGCGGAATTTCTATTCTCTACGCACAATGACGCTTATGGTCAAATGTCATGTCAAGTTGTCGCGTTCCGAACATAACAACGACAACCCTAACTAACTAACTAACACTTTTGACACATTGTTGCTTGATGTACGATTATTAAAATTACAAAGGTAAATACGCAGAAAATTATGCTCTTCCCGCTCTCCAATTTTCAATAGTCGCTAACGCTCCTCCTCGTTTTCCCACAATATCACAAGAACTCTCGCCAAAAGTCCAGCCACCTCAAAATGCCCCCCTGTGATCCTGTGAACGAACTTAAAGTTTAGTTAATATTACACGTGTCTAAAAACCCCCCATCCTCATTTCCCGCTCTTCAATGGATTATTATGCCAACCCCCTCAACTTCGCCCTTCACTTATCGTCATCAGACAAGCTACTTAGGAGCTTTTAGGCCAGTCACTACTCCACCTCCCTGAGCGACAAATCCATTCCAATCTCTAACCTGGAGTTTTATGGTTGGACTCCTAGTTAATTTTCACTTTAAGGATTGTCGATTTCTGGCGATTTTCTCATCAATATCCGGCGACCAACGTGACTGAGGCCCGTATCGTCAATCGTCCCTACAATTGTAGGGCGCCTTTACGGCCTCCTTGATTGTCATAGTTTTCTACTTCTCCGTGTCAGCGCTCTATTTTGAGGTTATGTCACAAACATCTATTTGCATCAAATTGTGCTTGCTTTTGAGTTATATCATGTTTTATTAGCCTGAAATTTCGTACAATTTAAAAGGAAAACAAATCTTCACAATAGGAGAGCGCTGACGCTGACACGGGACAAGTGTAATCTAGAAATTTTTGAAGGAGAGAAAGGAGTATAACAATCAAGGAGGCCATAAACGCGCCCTACAATTGTAGGGTCGACTGACGATACGGGCCTGAAATATGGCGTTTGTTTCGGATAATATAATAATAAAAGATTATCAACGCTGATGCTCTTGGAGGTATTCCGTAAATAATGAGCATGCAATATAAAGCAACACCATCAGTAGCTGTGGTGGTATAGGTGAGATGTATTGTGACTATTGTGGGAGGTGCAGAAGCACAGGAGATTCTGTCACGTCATAAAGTGCTACAGGTATGCTGTGAACATATCGGCATGATGTATTTGGCAGATTATTTATAATTGCATGTCTACCTATTTATAATCCTTGTATGTCGTTGGCACCGTTATATAAAGTATGGAAGGCCAACAAATTAAAGGCATAGAAATGAGCACACTAATTAAAAGTGACTAGCTTATTTACAAAGAATTGTGAATACTTTACATTAGTGTTTTCTGTATTGTTTTAGAATTATCAAGAAGCGGTACAATGAAGTGAGACACTTGGGTTTTGAAACACTCAACATGCATTTGTAATAAATCTATCTACTTATATTTTCATGTAATACAATTTTTATACCATTGTCAACAGCATATGAATATTTTTTGAAACGTAAATAAATTTTTTGCTTCATAATTAGGGTTGGATTTTATTATTCCGAACCTGTTTCTCTGCAAAACTGCTGAAAGATATATTGGGGATATTTTATGAATATATCGGAAATATCATTTTTGGCAGATTTCAAGTTTTGAACAAATGAAATCCCCGGCTGCCCGGCAGCCCGGCACATTCCTAGCATTCCTTATTCCAGGCCCATTCTTGGCATTTTTTCGATAGTTCATCCAGATCTCCAGGCAAGTAGGCAGCGCAACCATCTGACAAACGGTGTTGCCATTGTTTAACGTGCAGCTCTCACTTCTTCAGTCTTATGTGTTCTGTGGCCCTCATGTTTTCTGGATGCCAACGTCAGGTTGTTTCGGCAATATGGCATGGTTTTTTATTCTGCCAAATGAGTTGACTCCCCATGATATACTCTACTAGGCTCTGCAAGACTATCCGGACTATCCGGTAGCGGAATTTTCCCAGAAATCGTTACACAATATAAAATAATGCAAATGATAATTGACTCTTTCACGTTCGAAATAGCTCCGTTGGTACTCATCAGACGTTTTAACATCGACACCACCAGGTTTTCCTTGTTCTTGTACGTATAAAACTTTTTTTATAACATTCCAGCAAAGTAGCAGAGGTAGCAAGCCGTCCGATGAGCTGGCAACACCGCAATCCAGTTGACAAGAATAACGTGGTCAATTATTGAAATGTATATATCTATCCCGGGATACCGACGGCCCTTTTAGAACGTCAAAGCAGCAATTTTAGAATTATCATTTTTTTTTTCATGTTGTGCCACGATTTCGGGAAAAATTTCTTTTAGAGTCTGGTAGAATACAATTCAACAGTTGTCTTGCGTGGCCATGTTATCTTTACCCGGGCCAGATTTTCCTGATACGAATTTGCAAAACGATTTTTATTTTTGTAATGCAAATTTCCCAAATACTAAAATCAAATTCAAGCGGATAACCAAAAGAAAATGGTATTTACCATTTTGGGTTGGTATTTACCGATCCGTTCAAGCGAGTGTAGTTATCAGTTTGGTTATAAGATCCGTGACGTCATGAATCAGTTGTTATATGTCATAGTTATCACCGTAAAATTGTGGTATTTACCCAACTGAGGAGTTAATCAATTCCAAGCGGATAACCAAAATTTCCGTATTATGTACCGCGGTTATAATATGGTTCAAGATGACACACGGGATGGTGACGTCAGTTACTCGAATCGCTTGAACGCGTTGGTTTGAACCGCGGTTTGTTGCAAGTTGTTTATTTTAGAAAAGCGCCTATATAATTTGTTTATTTTTATTATCACTTAATAATCGGTGCTTTTTCGTCTACAGCTGTATATTTAAAGTTTAAATAAGAAACCTTTCATAATATTCATGGGAGAAATGTTTTTTTCAGATTTTTTTTAAATGATGGAACTATGGCTTTGTAGCTATGATAACTTTCAATTCTCTAAATTTTTCCGCATGTCAAAGAAAACATTTATTGATTCAGCAGAAATGATGAAAAAAGAAATTAGCAAAACCGTATACAGGTGGATATCATCTAGTGAGTTTATATGGCCATATTTTAATATTCTTGTGGTATATGGCTACACAGGATACTTTGTTAAGCATAGGAACTATATTTAAAGTGTCCCCAACAACCGTAATGAGTATAACTAATAAGGTGTTCCACTTTATGGTAAAACTGAAGTCAGCCTGTATCATTTTTCTCAAAAATGAAGCTGAAGTACAATAACAATATCCAATACCCGGCAAAATTCTAACTTGTCACATTTCAAATAATAACCAGAAATATAAAACTACTTTTGAGTTGGGTAAATACCACAATTTTGCGGTGATAACTATGACATATAACAGCTGATTCGTGACGTCACGGATCTTATAACCAAACTGATAACTACACTCGCTTGAACGGATCGGTAAATACCAACCCAAAATGGTAAATACCATTTCCATTTGGTTATCCGCTTGAATTTGATTGTTGTTTTATATTTCTGGTTATTATTTGAAATGTGACAAGTTAGAATTTTGCCGGGTATTGGATGTTGTTATTGTACTTCAACTTGATACAGGCTGACTTGAGTTTTACCATAAAGTGGAGCACCTTTTTAGTTATACTCATCACTGTTATTGGGGACACATTAAATGTAGTTCCTATGCTTAACAAAGTACCTATCCTGTGTAGCCATATATACCACAAGAATATTAAAATATGGCCATATAAACTCATGATGATGTCCACCTGTATACAGTTTTGCTAATATCTTTTTTCATCATTTCTGTGGAATCAATAAATATTTTCTTTGACATGCGGAAAACTTTAGAGAATTGAAAGTTATCATAGCTACAAAGCCATAGTTCCATCATTTAAAAAAAATCTGAAAAAAACATTTCTCCCATGAATATTATGAAAGGTTTCTTATTTAAACTTTAAATATACAGCTGTAGACGAAAAAGCACCGATTATTAAGTGATAATAAAAATAAACAAATTATATAGGCGCTTTTCTAAAATAAACAACTTGCAACAAACCGCGGTTCAAACCAACGCGTTCAAGCGATTCGAGTAACTGACGTCACCATCCCGTGTGTCATCTTGAACCATATTATAACCGCGGTACATAATACGGAAATTTTGGTTATCCGCTTGGAATTGATTAACTCCTCAGTTGGGTAAATACCACAATTTTACGGTGATAACTATGACATATAACAACTGATTCATGACGTCACGGATCTTATAACCAAACTGATAACTACACTCGCTTGAACGGATCGGTAAATACCAACCCAAAATGGTAAATACCATTTTCTTTTGGTTATCCGCTTGAATTTGATTTTAGTATTTGGGAAATTTGCATTACAAAAATAAAAATCGTTTTGCAAATTCGTATCAGGAAAATCTGGCCCGGGTAAAGATAACATGGCCACGCAAGACAACTGTTGAATTGTATTCTACCAG